TAAAATTTAGCAACAGCATTTAAATAAGGATTGTATTCTTTAACCCTCTGTAGTTGCAACATTTTAAAAAGTCTGCCGTTGTAGCAATCGATTGGGTTTAAAAGGATAATGATTCAATGAATGAAGTGTTACATTAAAAAGGAATTTGTTAGAAATGAGTGAGATTGTTGTCAGCCATATCTTTCGGCCACTCAGGAGACAAATATGTCTTTAAATTTTGATGGGACATCTCGAAACGTAGTCCCTGGCGAAGCTGAAGTTGTGTGAAACATGTTTTAAAGCAGTAGCATGTTTCCTTTGTTCACTAGGTATTTATCTTGATGCAAAAATTATTTTTGTGTTTGTTACTTACATAATGATGAATGTTACTTGTTCAGTCTTTGTTTTGCCTGTCAGAGACCCTTCCTGGGATTGTGTAACCAATTTCAACCATAAACAATTATAGAACTTGGGTCACTCTTCATCCAAATGTCTTTGACCACCCCCACCCCCCCACCTTTATGTTTAGTTTTACAATCATTTTCATTGTCAGTGCTAGTGTCCTCATTCATAAATTCACTCATAACTTCAAAACATTCATCTGAAATTGGAATGTGTTTTAATTTTTTATTTTTAAAGGTCTTATGCCATTTTCAAGACAACTAGCAAATGCTACGGGAGTTTCCACAAGTACCTACTTCTCATAATATCAGTAACAGCTGATAGATGGCAACAAAAGATTGATAAAACACAACAGATATATGATCAGCTGATGATGAGAAAGGCAAAGAACACTGCATGTTGACACTGAATATCTTATTTTGAATGTTGATTATGTGTTCACATATGATGGGGAAGAGTTTATGCTCTTTTTAATTATTTCCATTAGCAGTTTTGTGAAACAGCATTATACTGCTGGAAACCACCCATCTTGGTTACTCCCTCCCTCTCTAACAGTGCAAAGGAAGCAGTTATACTAGTTTCTGAGATAATGAAATTCGGTGTCACCTTGAAATTTTGCATGGTGGTACATTTTTTAAATTTGGACCAAAAGTATGTTTTATTTTATATTTCCATCTGCTGTGCACAGCACTGTATACAGTGGCCCCTTGATTTGTGATGCCATCAATTAATGATATTCCAAAAAATGATCCACTTCCCATTGGATCCCATTGTTTCTATTAGCGATACATTTTTGATCAGTCATACGTTTATATCACACAACACTCAGTTTTGGTCAGGTGGCCTCAGCCAATCAGCGAATTCTTTCATGAGTGTTTACAGCTCAGCTGGCTCGCCTTTTATTGTTTTATTTGTGTCGTTCCTCTTGGAATGAATTAGCCTTTAACATGTATTCCATGTGTTCAATTAACAGTAATTTAAATTAATGATGGTTTTCATGGATCCAGTTTTTATTGTTAACTGAGGAACCACTGTACAGGTGCATGGAATGAGAGGGGACAAGATGGTTATAGATTGAAATTAAAAAAAAATAATTTCTGCAATGTTTGGTGCTAGTTAATGAATCATTGTAATTTGACAAGCAAAGTGTTTTATGGTGTAATGTAAATATATTTAGTACTATTAATAGAGGTATAAACATGAGGACTCATTCTTCGGGACTCCAAGTACACCAGCAGCAAGTGTGTTCAGTATTTCTTTACAGTATGAAGACAAGTCATTTGAAAGCTCCAGATTTGCTGTTGGTGATATCTGAAACCCATGGCCAAAGGAAAGGAATATGAGATTTGAGGATTGTGTAGCAGTGGGGTTTCAGATCATGATCTTCTGTATTGTTTAGTACATGGTTTGACATTTTGGAGGAACATATTTCTCTGCTTTGAAGATAATGGATGAAGACATGTTACTCGGAGACATTGGTAACCAGCTGCAAGACTACAGAGTCACAACCCAGAAGACCGCAGTCTAAAAGTAATGGAAGGTTTACTTTTTGCAGTTTTAAATTGGGGGTGGGGCACAGGATGATATTTATGATGCTTTTTTTAATCACATATTTTCTTGTTGGGACAAAACTGAAATTAAAATTTTAACAATTATGGTTGAGTTACCAACAAATAATTTTGTGTGTGGACTTTTGTCTCCTTGCAGTCCATGTGTCATTAACAATCCAGATGACCAACATCAACATCTTGAAGATGACTTGTGGGATGTTGCGCTGTGTAGTCTGGTCGATGTTTACCAACGTTTCAGAGGTCATACTGCCTCCGTCATCAGGGCGATGAGTATGAAGATATCTGTCTTCTGGGTTGTTGCGCTGTGTAGTCTGGTCGATGTTTACCAACGTTTCAGAGGTCATACTGCCTCCGTCATCAGGGCGATGAGTATGAAGATATCTGTCTTCTGGGTTGTTGCGCTGTGTAGTCTGGTCGATGTTTACCAACGTTTCAGAGGTCATACTGCCTCCGTCATCAGGGCGATGAGTATGAAGATATCTGTCTTCTGGGTTGTTGCGCTGTGTAGTCTGGTCGATGTTTACCAACGTTTCAGAGGTCATACTGCCTCCGTCATCAGGGCGATGAGTATGAAGATATCTGTCTTCTGGGTTGTTGCGCTGTGTAGTCTGGTCGATGTTTACCAACGTTTCAGAGGTCATACTGCCTCCGTCATCAGGGCGATGAGTATGAAGATATCTGTCTTCTGGGTTGTTGCGCTGTGTAGTCTGGTCGATGTTTACCAACGTTTCAGAGGTCATACTGCCTCCGTCATCAGGGCGATGAGTATGAAGATATCTGTCTTCTGGGTTGTTGCGCTGTGTAGTCTGGCGGTAGTTTGCCATTGCTTCCAAGTTGCTTGCTGCTTCCATCATCAGGGCGATTGATGTAGGAGGCAGCAAGCACCCTGAAATTTTGGTAAACTTTACCAGACTATACAACGCACGTGACTTGTGGGTGAATAGGAGGACATTGGAAAACTTCTGCATAATGTAGCAGCATGTCACATTGAAATTTAAACATGTTTTGTGTTATGTTGGATGTGTTGAAACTTTTTATGGCATATCCTGGATGTCTGGTGGCTTTATGTTGGTACTTCAGAATCTTATTCCTTAGGTCATTCCCAGTCGGATGTCATATGAATATTGGTCCGATTCTGAAGTTATGGGGCTGTGGATATTTGAAGTTCAAAGTGATTTGAGCCTTGCATATAACATCAGAGTCATTCATGCATCTTGAACATTACAAGTACAGATGTACTTGTAGTGTGATGGGTCACCCCATATTTCAGTTTATACATGATGGACTACCTAACTGATCACTTCCCTCCTGGATTGGTCATGGTGGTCTGCAGAATTGGCCAATGTGGTTACTGGACCTCCTCTAAATTTCCATGAAAAACACGGTAAATGAACGCAAAGTGAAGAGAAGAGAGAAACTATATTATCAGACTTCTGATGCGAGGTCTGTGGATCTTGAATTAAGAATATTCAGAGCTTAATTGTTGAAAATCAGACATGTTTATTTGACATTTCTAACTTTGAATGACCTTGAGTATAAGATTGTGGTGTATTGACATAGTCACCAGACGCCCTGTAAATTCTGTAGCTTAAATTGTTATGACTGCAGTTCCTCAACAGTAAGGGGATTGTGGTTGCAGTAAATTCCAGCAGGTCCAGAATATTCATCATAAAGCAAGTATTGGAATCTTGAGTCTTCCAAATTATGTCAACATAAATATGATATTTTCAAGAATAAATTTCAATTCTTTATCCATAATTGTCCTTTTAAAACAAGCAGTTATCTTGCAATCAGATACCTAAACTCTGCTTTCAGACTACATTTCACTGCCTGTATTGCCTACTGCAGGTTGAACAGTCACAACTTGTCAGAATTGTTATAATACCACTGACATTGCTGGGCAGTATGAAAAATGAATTACTGAGCTTCATTGTACATGCTGTTACATTGCTTATATTCTGAACATTTTATAATAAAAAAATTCAGGTCAGATGCACTGTACATAATATAATTTTGATAGTACATTTTATTTCTTTGTTGCAGTCCATCTGTAAGTTTTTTAATGGAAAGTACAAAATCAGAAACTTGTCTGGAAACTGTATGGTGCTCTTGATAGTTATTTTGTAAATAAAAAAGGGAAGATGGTGGTGAAAGAAGCATTGCTACAGCACATGTCCTTTGTAACCATATAGCACACCATGCTATTTATGAATAAGTTTTAATACTTGTTATTACTTTAATTAATCTAAGGAATGTAATTTGTTACTGGCTTTGCCTATTCCTGCCTATGTGTGATGGGAGCAGAATATGTTCAACACAACATCCTATTCTTGAAGTAGGAGAGTTTTCATTTACTGTTGTGACACTTGTTCGTATTAACTCTCTGAAGCTTATTGATGTTCTACGTAAACATTAAGTTCCCCAAAAAATAATTCACAATGCAGCTCCACTACAAAGATTGATTGACTGTGTTCTTTAATGAAATAATTGCTGCTAATTCTGAGAATCATGTGATGCCCATAAAGACACTGTGGGAAAAATGTAGAAGTACTGATTTTTAAAAAGCAGGTGGTACATGTAGGTACCATTGGCTTTAAGGGGTTAACATATTATAAATTTGCTGTATTAGATTTCTTCTACTAATTATACTCAGTTTTCAGAACCTGTTTTTATTTATTTTAATGTGAAGTTAATTGAAAATGAATATTTGTCCTATCAGAGCTATTGTGACTGATAGTCCATGCACTACCACATGTCCCTAAGATATTTTGAAGCCATTTTGTATCATTATTGTAGCAGTTGTAAATGTACAGTACAGTATAGCACAACCCAAAATCTGGAACATGCAACACAAGTGCTTGAGTTGAGAAATTTTCTTCATTCTTATGCTTGTCCAATCTTTTAGCCACTGAAATCTTTGTATGTACTTGGTAATTGCAGAATTTACTCTGTGACAGATATAATCCCCATATTTGTTCTCCCTGTCATTTCGTTATATAAACTTGTGCAGTGATAAGGTGGTGGGTTTTGTTTCTTTGCTTGGTGCAGAGCTCGTAAGATTCTTGAATCCAAAGGCCTGGCAGATGAAGAGCGTATGGATGCATTGGAGAACCAGTTGAAAGAGGCCAGGTTCATGGCTGAAGAGGCTGACAAAAAATATGATGAGGTGACGTGTTCGGCACCTGCATGACATGAATTCCGCGTAACCGAACTGAATGTGATTGTTTTAATAACATGACTTGTGATTGCATAGTCTGCTCACCATGGAACTTGCAAAGAGGACTCAACAATCAAATATTTGATCTGTGTAGTGGGATATGTTAGGCTAGGTACATTATTATGTTCACATTGTAGTTGTAATATCGTATGCTGACAGGGTGACACGCAGAAGATATTTGCGTTGATGTTGGAAGTGTTGTTTAAATGGAAGTGTTCTCTTTGTGAAGGAAGTGTTGATGGGGATCAGAGTTCTCTGGATTTTTTCAAAGAGAAACTTATTCCATGAAGTGTGTTCCAAGGAATAAGGAACATCAACTTCAGCCAGTTTTAGCAAAGCATAGTGCAGCATCCATTTCCGTACGTAGAATGTTTATCATGAGCTTGTGTTCAACTGTTGTATGTTCCATGGTGCTTGCTGCACTTTCGTGAAAATTTGCATGAGTTGTTTAATTCATAATTACTTATTCTTTTGCAGGAAATAACCAGAAACCCTCCTGTTAATAATACTACTATAATATTGTAGTAGCAGTAGCAGTAATAATAATACTATTACTTTGTTACAGGACTGGCTAACTGTATTTTTTGAAAATGAATTTGGTTATTCTGGGGCTTTTATTGTGTATATTTTTAATACCGACATTTGGTACATAAAGGTTAAAAAGTAACATTATGCACTCTTGTTATATTCAAGTCAGATTTTCCTAAAATGTGGGTTAATATTATCAAAATTGGTGTACTTATTGTGGAAAGTGTTTCCTAGTACTGTATTGTTATTCTTTTGCCATTGATTGTTTTATGAATGGGTAGTGGTAGGTGATGCAGATTTTGCGTGAATGAGTGAAGCCCTTTTTTTTAAATTATATTTAGTGGCCACATGTTTTGTAGTACAGTCAAATCCTGATACAGTGCCCCTCTACCATTGCATTGCACCCATGAAAGCTTTAAAATTCCCTATGTAATTTCAAAGGTAGTGGGGAAAAGGGCAGTGTTAGGTGTTACGTCAAAATAAAAGTTCTGTGCCTGAATAGAACAATATCCTGGTGCAAGTCAACAAAATATTACCAACTTTCTTTTTTTATGGGGAAACACTGTTGGAGATATTTTCAATTAAAAAGGCTTCCATTCACCACTATTCCTCGTACTAAGGAGACTAAAAGAAATTTGTTTCTCCATACAGTCTAATCATCTCTGCAGTGTGGTGGGTTTTTTTTTGTACTGCATGGATTAGTGTTTCCCTTTATACCAGGTGTCGGCAACCCTTTGATTACCACAGGCCGTATTGGCTATTCATTTCATGTCTTTGTTGAGGGCCACAGAAAAGAATGTCATGGTCAGTAAGTGGAACTGCTTTATTAACTTGGAGTATAGCTGCATTTCTCCATACAACTAAGTTTACAGTAAAGATGGTGCTTGTTAACTTTCAAGCAGTTTTGATTTCAAGTCGTCGTTAATTTTATAACACTTATCAGACCACAGTAATTTTCATATTGTTTTGTTGACTAGATAATGTGTGTATGTATATGTATCAGTTCTTCTTAGTAGCAGAAAATGTTTGTCCTTCTTGCATTGGCTAATTCCCAAGTGATATGATGGGCCTATGGACTGCAGGTTGCTGACCCCTGCCTTTTATCATTAAATTCTTTCCTCATAATTCTACTTATTGTTGGATTAACCACATACTGTAGATTCAGTTTGTGAGTTTGTTGAGTGCTCCAGTTAACTTACTAACATTTTCCATTACAGAAGTAACCGATACAAGGTCTACGTGTCATGTGGCATGGTTTGTTCATTAAGTTGGTTGTTACATGCTAAACTCTGCCAACTTTTTTCAGCCTTTAATTTTATGAAATACAGAAAGAATAGTGGAAGGAACATGATTGGATATACTTACATTTTAGCAACTTTGTGGTACTGGAAAATCCTATTTTAAGCTACATAATCATAGCTATATAAAAACAATACCCAGTTTCTGAATAACCTATCAACTAATTGAAACCTTTGATGAACTCTTTTAAATGGTGGACAGTGTTTAGACTTCATTCATTATAATCAGCTGTATATAATCTGCCGACACAACTTCTTAATAGGTTTTTAATTAAAATAATTGGGACCACTATGTTTTGGCTGTATAAGGTTTTCATCAGTTGGTTAAATATGTTTGAGTGCTGGAATATTATTACATTCAGTATACATTGATTTGTATGGTAGTAACATTCCAGTACTCTGGGTAATATTTAACCAACTGATGGTGGCCTTCAGAGTCTGAAAAGTTATGTTGACAGATTAATAATTATTGATGCATTATGTTTTCCTTAAAATGTACTAAATTACTGTAATTATTATTGAAAAGATTTACTTGCTGCAACATGATCACTGAAATGGAGACTTTTCTTGCGTCCTAAAAATCTGTTACACATTTTCTCATACCTGAAACTTTGAAATCTGTATTTTTGTGTTTACATCTGCCCTTATAGGAATATAAAAAGGAATTGTGTGGCAGTCCACCCATATCATGAATCATCATTTACCCCCACACGCCCACCGAATGTGTGCACACACACGTACACACATACAATGTGCAAGTTACTTTTACCAAATTTGACTGTATACCCATATTTTTTTTTTTTTTGGTTTTGGGATTTTAGTCTAAATTTATGAAGATTTGACCCATAAACACTTTTTTATATCTGTATGTTATAATTGCAGATTAAATTATTTTAGATGACTGCCAGGGAGGTTGGGTGTGAAAATTGTGACTAATGCACACATTATATAAAATGGTTTCAATTTCAGGTTGCACGTAAGTTAGCCATGGTTGAAGCTGACTTGGAAAGAGCAGAGGAACGTGCAGAGAGTGGTGAATCGTATGTGCTCAGAGTTGTTTATTGTGTGTTGCATGCTTTATTCACAGGGATTTTATTATTGAATATATCTGAAATTTGATTTTTGGTAACAATCTTTGTGTGTCTTCTGCTAAGTGCTTTTCTATATAAGGTTACCTGTTACAAGTATTGAGCTCTTATTAGAAATATTTAGCTCATGTTTTGCTACTGTATATGAGGCCTGAAGATGGAGACAGTGAGTTCCTCTGAAATGTTGACATATGAGAAAATTCTTGAAAATACTAGTAATTCTGATGAATTGTAGTCTTCTGCACTTATTCAAAATCCATCCACATGTAACTTGGATATTATTTTCTTAATTATATGTGTTTGAATATAAGTATAGAAAATTAATTTCACTTCAGTTTAATTTTGTTTGAATAAATTATCAAGTTTTGGAATTAAACTCATATTTTGGGCATTATGACCTGCAGGTTGTTGCTAACTACATTCACATAGTACAACATGAGCTAAGTACAGTAGCACGTATTGTGTATTTTTGTGGTAATATAATATTCAAGGAATAGTATGCCCAATGCTCAGTTTTGCATGTTTGTTTGATAATTAAGATAGCATACACCTGCAGCTGGTGGCGCCCCATAACATTCTGTAGCAGATTCATATGGAAAATGAGTATTTTGTCTGGATGTAAAGAGAATGCGTTTTCATTGTCCATCAGTGACAGTGATAAAATGAGTCCAACTTTGAAAACTGGAAATGGAAAATGTTTGTACTTAATAATCCAGTGACATTTTGTGGAACTTTTCATAAAACTAAAACAAATATTTTTTATTATAAACTTTCCTCATTTGTTTTGTGTCAATCCAAGGTTCATGATAATTTCATGAGTCATGAAGTTAGATAAAGGTTGTTACAGCGTTAGGCTGCAGGTTTATCTGTCTCTTATGATGGCATTGAGCGTGGTTGTAGGACTTAATCATGTTATTAACTTGCTGCACCCTCAAGCATGTTTGTGTTGTTTGCTGCACTGGCTACTCCTCTTGCTGTAGGTGGCCAGAAAACTGGTGTTGATGGAGCAGGACTTAGAGCGAGCTGAGGAACGTGCTGAACAGGGAGACGGGTGAGACATGACTTGTCATTATCTTACAGTGAGCGTAGTTAAATAATGTACAATTTGTATCTAAATTTTCAGTAAGTACAGCATACTCCCAGTTCTCTATGCACAATTTTTTTCACAAAACTTGTATAAATTTTGCCTTTTTTAAGTTTTAAATAATTGTCGTCTATTGAAGGTTTATAAAACCATGTGTTCATATACACAGGGACTTGAAAACAGAGTTTTAATGTGTCTTCTGGTCTTTCTGTGATGTTTCTCTTTTACATTTAGTTATCTGTTGAGGAATGGGGGGAGTTAGGTTTGGAAGGACATCCTCTTGTTCTAA